AATATCAGTTTATACATGTTTTACTAAGTTTATAAAAACATTTCACAAAGTTTCAAAAGTTGGTTTATGTCAAAACATCAAAATTCAAGTATCTCATATTTTCATGTTTTGGACTAGTTTGTAAAATGATGATATTTTTCATTTGGGAGGTCCTTTCTGATAACCAGTCACTATAGTATGTTTATTATCATGTCTACAATCATTCCCCAAAGTTTTACATTTTTTGGAATTTATTTGATATTTTTAAACAGTGTTTCAAAATCAGATGTACAGCTTTCAAAACTGTTTTTCAGAGTATCAGTATTCGGTCGACCGCACCGGTCGACCGAACCTGAGTTCATATGTTCACTGGGCGACAGAGAGTCTGTCGGTCGACCGGTCCGGTCGACCGAAAAACTCCATCGGTCGACCGCACCGGTCGACCGACGATGGTCCAGAATGTTTTCTTCGTGTTTTTGCTCTCATCGGTCGACCGACGGAATTTTCGGTCGACCGACAAAAGAGCCGTTGGCTCCTAACGGCTATTTCCTGAGCAGATTTCTGGGGGCTGTTTTGTCATTTGTTTTGGTGTTTTTGCTGAGATTTCTAGTGGGTATATATACCCCATTGCTGATGTCTTTTCAAACTGATTAAGAGAGTTTTAAAAACAAGTTTAAGAAAGTTTTAAACAAGGGTTTGAGTTTGTTTAGTTTGTTTTTGGGGTTTGCTGTTACAAAGAGGAGTTTGCATCACCAGTTGAGGATTTCATCCTCAAAATCTTCTCATCCTCTCTTTGTGTTTATAGAGAAGTTTTCTAACTCTTTTCCCTAGTAATTTCATTATTGATTTATCATATATTAATTATTGCTAGTTTGCTATTTGAGTTAGATTTCATCATATATTAATTATTGCTAGTTTGCTATTTGAGTTAGATTTCATTTTACTCATTGTTACACACACCCACATTGAGCTTTTAGTATTTACATACATAGTATAGTTGGGTGGTGAGAGTTTGTAACTTTGAGTTGTGCTTAATTGTGTTCTCATCCATAGTTGAGAACAATCAGTTGTTATATTGTCCTTATTGTGAGATTCACTTTGTAATACACTTGTACACCGAGTGAGGAGTGTGTGGTGAGAGTCGGGGATCGTCCCAAGAGGAGTGGCGTCGGTTGACGTGCCTAGGGAGAGGTTGTAACCGAGCACTTGAGGGAGACACGGCTAGGTCCAACACTTAGTGGGTGTAGAGTGGGATTACAATAGTGTGTTGATTGTAAAGTTTTCGGTTAGCTAGAAAACCGAGTGTGAGGTGTAAACGTTGTTCGGGTGAACGTAGAAAACCCGGTTGATAGTGGATTTCTCCCCAGGAGAGGGGAGCGGAGACGTAGGACGGAAGGTCCGAACTCCGTGATCATCTTTGTGTGTTTGTGATTGTCTTGGCGTCTCACTTGTGCTTATTGTTCATATCATTCTTGTCGCCATTATCTATTGTTCACATTGTCCACTATCTTGTTTATCTTGTTTATGTTAATATCACCCTTAGTTTATATATCCTTGCATATATATATAATTCATCATCTAGGATATATCTCATTGTTTATATTGCATATTCTTGCACATAACTCTTTGTATACCTATCTTGCAAGAATATATTTGTTAATTAGTTTTAATTGGCATTTAAATATGATTAGATTAGCATAAGACCCTAATCACCCCCCCTATAGGGTCTAACATAAAGGTCGTCTCCGCTGATCTGCATAGCTCTTCTGCTGACTCTGCACCGCAAGAATGCGCTCTCGAATCAATGTTACCTTCTCTGTGGTCTGTCTAACTAACTTTGGACTAATCAATAGACTATCCTCTGGCTCTGCCCAACATATAGGCGATCTGCAAGGTCTCCCGTACAAAGCTTCATACGGTGCCATTTCGATGGTAGCTTGATAACTGTTATTATATGCAAATTTAATCAGTGGGATGTGATCCTCCCAGCTACCCTGAAAATCTATAATACACGCTCTCAGCGTGTCCTCTAAAATCTGATTCACCCTTTCGGTCTGTCCATCTATCTTGGGGTGAAAAACACTGCTAAATGACAACTGACTACCAAAAGCATCCTGCCAAAAGCAAACCTGTTAGCCCTTATGTTTTGATAATGTTTTACAACCACCATTATCGGTGCTAATTGCTTATTGAGTGATAATACAGTTAATATATATATTAAGCATGTTAGTACCACAAATGGAGGATTGGATGGAATATGCACTACAACGTTGATATCCAAAGGAAGAGGAGGCATAGTGATGAAGCAACGTTTAATCAAGAACAACAAATTCAATTAGAAGCTTCATCCAACTCAAGCTATATCAAGACTCAAGAATTGTATTCTCGTGAGGATATTAGCTAGTTTTTATTTTCTCTCTAGTGCTAGAATGTAGGCAAAGAGTTATCAATTTCACTTGAAGCTATTGGGATATCACACACACGTTTTCATATTTATATTTTTGAGCGTATTTCACAAAATACTATTTTTTACAAGTATGAGGACCTTTTTACAAAACTCTTTTTTCAAACAATTTGTTTTTGGTATTAAAAACATTTTACAAAGTTTCATAATTTTTAGAAATCAAATGAATATTTTACAAATATTTTAAGTTAGTCAAAAATCAAGTTTTTGAGTGTATCAGATTGCGGTCGACCGCGCCTGAGCTCACTCGTCAATGGGCAGTAGAAACTTTCACGGTCGACCGCCGCGGGCGGCCGTAAGATCAAAATTTCCCACGGTCGACCGCGAAAGTCTCTGGACTTTTGGTGAGTTTCTGAGGTGCCTCGCGGTCGACCGCGAAAAAGTCACGGTCGACCGCCGCTTGTTTTAAACGGTCATATGGTACAGATCTTCAGCGCCGATTTCACATGATCTCAGCGCTGTTCTGTTTCCAGGTTTTGGGGGATTAGGTATGGGTTTAAACAGCTGTGATTTTCTATTTAAACCTATTCTCTTCTTCTTCCTCATTGTCCCAGCTCTTTCAAAATATTTTTCAGAGAACGTTTTTACAGAGCAAAATTTTCAAACCTGTTTCTTTCTGAGTTTTTGTGTTTCACATCCTAGCTTCAGTGTTATCTTCTCTTTGCCATAGGGACATTGTAAAGAGAGGGTTCTTACACCATTTTTATTATTTTGAGAGCTTAATCTTGTGTAGATCAATTGTGTGGGAGTGTGATCTAGTGAGATTAACTGTGTAGTGTGAGATCGTGAGGGGATCGCTATGTAGAAAAAATTCCGGCTTCCAAACCGAGTTATGTAGTGGATTTCTCCTCGAGAGTAGGGAGCGGGGACGTAGGTCAGCGGACCGAACCTTGTTAACACATCGCGCATCACAGGATAACGATTCCTAACTCTATCTCCTCTATTTTGATTGCTTTTGGATATTGTGTTTTGCTTGTCTTAATTTTATTGCACAATTATAGCCTTGTGACCCTAATCCCCCCCCCCCCCCTCTAGGGTCCAACAATTGGTATCAGAGCTTGGTCTCTATATTAGTTTTTGGTTTAAACACCTTAGAGAAAAGATCTTATGGAGGCTTCAATGAATGTGCACATGTTAGAGGGACAATCCACCACTAGACCACCACTTTTTACCGGTAGTAATTTTGCATATTGGAAGGCTAGGATGAGGATTTATCTTCGTTGAATTGACCTTGACATCCTAGAACTCATAGAGAAAAAATATGTAGAAAAGCCCAAAGTCGGGACTATGACCAATGGAGAAAGGCACCAAGCCAATCTCAATGTAAAGGCTATGAATGCCTTAATTTGCAGTCTTTCCCCCAATGAGTATAATAGGGTTTCCACGTGTGCAACCGTATACGAAATATGGGTGAAATTATGTATTACACATGAAGGAATCCCCCAAGTTAAGGAATCCAAAATTAGTGGGCTTATGCATGAATATGAGTTATTTCAAATGCTTCCAAATGAATCAATTGATGCTATGTTTTCTCGCTTATTTCAAATGCTTCCAAATGAATTAATTGATGCTATGTTTTCTCGCTTCACTAACATTATCAATGAATTGCATGGTCTTGACAAGAAATTGACTATTCAAGAGACGAACTACAAGATTCTCCATTCATTGACTCCGATGTAGGAACCCAAGGCGACTGCGATAGAAGAAGCTCATGACCTTACCACTTTACCTATCGATGGCCTCATCGGCAAACTCAATGTTCATGAGAAGAAGCTCAAGGGAAAGGAGAAGGAGGAAGTGCCCTCACAGGAAGTTGAGGAGCCGTCACCAAAATTGAAGACCATAGCTCTCAAAGGAGCTAGTGATAACTCCTCTTCGTCATCGGATAGTGAAGTTGATTTTTCTAGAGAAGTGGCTCATCTCTCTAGAAGAATTTCTAGACTCATAAAAATGAACAAGAAATTTAACCTCCGATCTAACAAAAAATTTTCTTCATGTGTTGGAAAATGTTTCGAATGCAATGAACTGGGCCACATCGCTAAGGATTGTCCTAAGCTCAAAGAGAAGTACATGAAGTACAAGAAGAAGAAGGCTATGTATGCCGGATGGGAGGAATCCGAACTAAGTGATTCAGATAGTAATGAAGAGGGAGCTAAACTTGCTCTTCATGATCCCAACATTTGTTTCATGGTCCTTGAACATGAGGTAATATCCGACACTGAGAGCCAATCCTTTTACATGCAATGTGATCTAGCTACGGCTTTAGAAGAATTGAATATTGAATTTAAAAGAATGCCAAAGGAATTTTCTTCTTTTAAAAAATTGCATGCTTCTTGTGATGTGAAACTAGAACAACTAGAAACCTCTCTTGCTCTAAAAGATGAATTGCTAGGAGATCTCGATTTTGAGAATAAGCAATTAAGATCCAAAATTGAAAGACTATAAATTGAGAGTGGTAGGATTAGACCCACTCATGCTTATGCTAATCATCATCACCATGGTAGAAATAAGTTTCATGGTTCTCATGCTCATACATACAAAAGAAATTTTGTGTGCACATATTGCATGAAACATGGTCATATTTCTACTCATTGTAGAATTAAAGATAACTATGAATTTTATGGATTGACATGGGTACCCAAAGGTACCAAGTTTACTAACCACCAAGGACCCAAGATTTGGGTACCTAAAGTTACTACACCTTCCTCTCTTGTAGGGGACATCACGGCAACGATGTAAAGAGATGTGGTGCCTTGATAGTGGTTGCTCTCATCATATGACGGGCAACAAAGAGTTATTTTCAGCCCTATCAAGGATTGAATGAGGTAGCGTCTCCTTCGGTGGTGGTGAGAAAGGTAAAATTATTGGTATTGGTTCTATTGGTAAGAAACCTTCACTCGTTATAGAAGATGTTTATTTGGTTAATGGATTGAATCATAATCTTCTTAGCATTAGTCAATTGAGTGATAAAGGTTTTGATATTTCCTTTAAACCGGACAAATGCATTATTAGTATGAATAGAAAAATTGTTTTTGTTGCTAATCACAAGTCTAATGTGTATATTTTTGAGATGAATAAATTAGTGAATCAAGATGTGAAATGCCTTGCAGCAATTAATGAAAACCCTTGGATTTAGCATAAGAGGCTTGGACATGTGTTTGTGTCAAAAGTTGTCTTTTCCATTATTTTCAAAATCTGTTACACTGTTTATCGATTACAAGTTCAAATTGAAAGAAAAGTTGATCTTTTTATAAGATCTTCTTACAATGAAAAATAAAGATTACAACTTTATCAAACAAAACACAGCAGTAGTTTATCTCCCGCTGCTTTGCGTGGGATCTTTGCCTGTGCCGGGGACGCGTTAGTCCGTGGACCACCGCAGATCAACTCGATAGACAATATAATTACGCTCTCGTTTCACGAAGGAAACAATTGCAGAAGCGACAATCACGACCAAGCGAGATTGTGGCTCTTTTCGAGATTAAAACCAAGTTTAATCCGGAGGAAAGAAGGGGAAAGAATCACAAACCTTTTCAAGGGGCTTTCTTTATGAAAGTATTCGCCAAGCTCTGATGATTCTCCTCTGAAATTCGTTGTTAACTGGACAATTTGACAGCACCTCGCCTTCTCAATCTCAGATCCTCTTTAAAGAAGACCCTAGGCTTCTATTTATAGGCTTTTGGAGATATCATTTTGAATAAGAATTTGTGTTTAAACGTTATCTGTAGTTTATAACTGTCTAAACGTGTTTAGGGATAACCTCAAAACAGTTGGAGAGGTTCTGGGATGAAAGAATCCTTAAAAATCATCAAAATCCGTGTTTGGGGAGGTTTTGTGTTCAGTAAGAGTCCTGGTGGCTCGGAACTGTGCGAGTCACCATTTGGTGGCTCGGAACTATGCGAGTCACCATTTGGTGGCTCGCATGGATGCGAGTCACCATTTGGTGGCTCGCATAAGTGTGAGCCATCGCATAGGTGCGAGCCACCAATTGGTGACTCGCGCCTACACGGGCCTCCAAGTGGTGTTTCGTTTGCTTTTTTGATACTTTGGCAATTTGTGACTCTTCCAGTTCCCTTGTTTTGCGTACGCTTCATCGCTTCGATAGCTTGTACATTCTACTGATCCATTTCATTCCCTTGCTGATGTTGGATGAATTCCCTTGACTTGGATAATAACGTTTGTCGTCTTTTCCTTGTCTTGAACTGTGTTTAAGGACTTATAGGTAATTTTTAACCCCTACAGATACCCCCTCCAAAGTGTTTCAGTCTCATTTCTTTTATATAAGAGCCTGAAATACTTTGGATGTGATAGGCCTTATCTGCAGAAAGACCTGTTAATGGACTTCATCTCTTGACTCCTTCAACCTTCAATCTATTCAACGTTCTGTCGAATAGATGAAGTTTTTATGGTTCTGCGTTTATCGTCTGACCGCTGTCGAAGTCTTGAATTGAAACTAAATGGTGTCGTTGATTTGACGTTGAGCTGACTATTTTTGTTGGGAATTCATATTTGACGACGTCTTGACAGACATTGGTCAAAAGTTATGCGTTGAAGCGGAGAGAACCAGTTTATACTCGTATACTCTTAGGAGTTTTGGGAATTAGTTTAGCCTCATATGCCCGTCGGAGGTCGTCGGGTTATCCTTAAGAATATTCTGCACAATATTCTCCAAAAACTTCTCGTCGAGGGTGGGGAACAGTTTAAACTCGTATATCCATTAGAGTATGAATACGGATACCGTATATGTTGGAAATGATCACCGAGGGACCAAAACACCCAACATTTGGTCCAAATAGCTCGCTATACATGCGAGCCAGCGAATGGTGGCTCGCATGTGTGCGAGCCAGCAAATGGTGGCTCGCATGTGTGCGAGTCAGCAAATGGGGGTTGAGGTGTTGCGAGACAGCTAATGGTGGCTCGGGTTTTTGTGAGTCAGCTGGTGGTGACTCGGGTTTTGCGAGTCAGCTGGTGGTGACTCGGATCTTGCGAGCCAGCTAGCGGTGGCTCAGTTTTTGGTTTAATTTTGGGGGGTTTTTAAAACCGAACTATTCTTCTTCTTCGTTCGTCATTTCAAATATTCTTCTTCGAGCCTTTTCTTCAAGAACTCATTTCAGAACCTCTGAATCCTCTTTACTCTTTTCTTCAAACCTCTTCAATCTTTCTTAAATCCCACTGAGTTCACGAATTGGGAGCTAGGGTTTCAATTTGTTTTGATTTGGGTTCAAGCATTTGTGGGTTCTTTTCGCAGAGCTTCATTCTCCTTGATCTCTTTCGCACTCAGGTAAGAGCTCCACCCCATTCATGGCTTCTTTTTTTTTTCTTTGATTCTGGGGGTTTAAGGTTAGGGCGAAAACCCTAATTTGGTTATTTGGTGAATTTTGACCCTCAGGTCTGTGATTCGAACACCCTTTGCGGTTCTTTGCTTGATTGTCCAAATTCTAACTTGGGTCATGACTGAACTTCTTGGGTTGTTGAAATTACCTGACTTTGATTTCGAGTTCAACTGACATGACCGAAATCCTGTTTGCATGGACAGAACGTTCACTTAAATCTTGAATACTTCATTGTGTGGTTACATATGGAGATTGGCTTAAGTCCTTTGAGACTTGTAGCTATGGCTGAACCCTGATTTCGATTTGTTCTTGGTTTGGTCCTGATTCTCAGATCCATAGGAGTTACTGTCTGGTTACCCACTCGAACCCCAATTCTTGGTTTGTTCGACCCTATTTAGGACCCGTGTACTCGATTCTTGAGTTTGCATGTGTTTAAAAATTCATTGGGACTCGTGATCAGACCCTTGTATGCACGAATCTGGTCAGGTTTGTGATCTTTGGGTTTTTAGGGTACGTGATAGCCTGATTTATAGGGACGTCGTGTTTCATTGTTTGCCACGTGGATGACTTTAGCCAAATCCCTAAAATTCTGGCTTAATTTGTTGCATGATGTGTCATGGGTTGAAACTGCATCGATATCGAGCCCACCACTTAAGTCTAATCGGAGCACCATTTTTCCTTGCATTAATCTGATATTTCTCCATTTTTATTGTAATTGACCTGTTAATTCTCTGCAGATATGTCACCCAAGAGATCTCGCGTAGTTCGAGGCCGTTCGACGGCTCAGTCGCCCGAGCCGGCGCCGTTCAGCTGCACAAGTATATCATAACCGCCTCTTTTATTCATGAGTTAAATATCAAGATATCATACTGCATGTTGCATCCACACTTTGTTCTCCTTGGTGAGGCAATTGGGAAGAGCCGCCACCCTCCTTCGTGGGGGTGGACGTTTTACAAGTCGTGTTTTGCTTGGTCAAGACATGACTTAATTATCTCAGGGTGATTTCTTATCGTACTATACTCTGAAGGATAGGTATATTGTTGCATTATTCGTGCGACGATATATTCCATACTTCGTGTGTATAGTGCGGTTCTTAATCGTCTCGCCTAGATAATCCATCATGAATATGTCGTTGGTATAATTTCCTCATTTTGCTCTCACTTGTGGGGCGAAGACCGTGACTCTATCTCACGATTTATGATTCGAGTTCGACGCCTATACTGTTTTTTTAACATAGGCTTTTATGGTTGAACCTGATAATTACCTATTTTTTCAGTTGAATTTCTCTCGAGGGAGTTTAGCGCTCATTCAGTAGAGGGCCGTTGCAGTGAGGCTTATGCCTCTACTGATGAGCCAATCCCTGTTCCGGTGGCTCCTCAGTTTGCTCTGGGTATCCCGGAAGAGCTTCCACGATTAATACGGAAAGGAGAGCGCTATAGTTTATGACAACTTATCACGGATGCGCCGTTGGTGAAGGACCCAAGCTCTACGCACCCGCTACGAAAGCCAGATTATTTGTTTGGGGATTCCATAGAAGATCCCACCACCGTTTTTCTTGGAATGGAGCAGTGGTTGCATCACGACGACGGTGGCCATCTCTACCTTCCTCCGATTCCTCGCCACCGTTCGCTTGCCGAGCTTCGGTGTCAAGCTGTTCCTCGGGAGATGTCATGGAGATTAACTCCTCGCCACCGTTCGCTTGCCGAGCTTCGGTGTCAAGCTGTTCCTCGGGAGATGTCATGGAGATTAACGGAGGAACATGAGCGCATTCACTGCGGATACATTACTCGTGGCACGGTTGGCTCAAGTAATCGGAATCGGATAACGGGGTTACATCCGGGGATTACAGGATTGAGTGACCCACCCAAAGGAGAGATCTTCACTATTGCAAACACTGTGAAGAATCGGCTTGTGGCTTTGGGCCGAGAAATGCCAGTGACCAATCATCGATGTTATGGCTGGGTACACTCGTCAGATAAACTATGGTGGACCCGTTTGAGCCACTACATCTTGGATCGATTTGGCGAGGATTTGAAGGCTGGTGGTTTATATGCAGCCGTTCGTGCCACCACTTACGGACTGACCATGAGTGTTCCCCATTTCTTGGCGCTGCTAGAGCTCTACAATCCTGACGCCAATACGTTTTTGACTAAGCACGGGGAGTTGGGGTTAGCACTGCACGAGATGTATAAGATCTCCGGTCTTCCGATGGGAAACATGATTTATCAGGAGTACTTTCCTTCTAATAAGGAGCTGCAGCAACTAAAGTCGTGGACTCCCAACCGTTATAACACTTTCTGGGATCTTGCTTGCCATTATCACATAGCTCTTGTAGGTATTAATCCTTTATCGAAGAAATCGCGATCGCAAATCAGTTTAAAGAAGTTCACGGATTATCTTTTTAAGAATACGGACAGTGTTCTGGATGAACCGATTTGCGAGTTGTCGCCGCTAACCACCTCTAAAGTGAATGAGCTAATCAAGAGGTCCAATGCTCAATCTTACACCACGGCTGGTATTGAGGATGGCTTTGCTGTCTGAACGAAATTTCAAACTTTCTTGTGGCATGGAGTCAAACCAATCCGGCCTACGACATTACTTGCTGGGTATCTTGCTATTTGGCTGAAAAAGTGTGTAGTGCCAAACCAATCTTCTGACGTACTTTCCCCAGAAGTGTTGTTTCCAGCGGTTCTGCTTGCTCACCGGAAAAACTTATGCCTTCTTCCGGCAATAACCGCGGGTATTTATAGAGGGCTACGTCAGATTGTAAGCGGATTTAATCAAGAGAACTCGCCGCCTACTCAGATTCCTCTCACAAAGGTGGAGCTCCCTTATACTTATTTAATAGCTTGGCTAGTACTTCATCGATCCGATATGATGTGGGCGTCAACCTCGGTGGATCCCTCCCTTCCCTTTCTTCAAATAATAGAAAACTGTAAGTGGAAGGGACGAGGTTTCACAGATGTTAGGAAGCAGCTTCAGAATCACAAATGTTGGGTCTTCCCTACTTGCTTCCTACGGTTTTCAGGTCAGTATGGCGACTCGTTGATAGATGTAGAGAAGCCAGGTACAGGTCGAACTTTCCTTGATTCTGGTTGCTTCGATTGGTTGGTTAATTTTCGGCCGGGCTATGTGATCTTCCGCGTACGAAATCATTGTTACATAGAACCCTACTTGCCATGTCGGTTCACTCACCAATTTGGTTACGATCAAATTTACATCGGGAACCTAAACCAACAGCTCCGAACCCGCGGAGGTTTAGTGGATGGGGCTCGAGCGTGGCTTTGGAACATCACTGGTTGTACCGGTGTCAAATTTAATCTTCTGGGCGTCGAGCGCAAGTTAGAGCTGACTTTCCTACAATGCCGGTGGCTTTTGGCGACCAATGAACATGTGCCAGTTCAAACGATCACTGAGTCAACTGACGAAGAGGCTTCTCGGGTTACTACTCGAATGGTACATGAATCCGAACTTGGAAAGAGGAGAAGTAGGGAATCGACGGGTCCTTCTAGTCATTCAAAGCAGAAGGATCCAACTACAGAACCTCATTTTGGGGGTGGTGTAGGAATTGGTGGCGATGCTAGAGAAGAGGCACCGGAAAAAGGTGTGTTAGATCCCCTCTCTTTAGAGTTATTTGAATTAGCAATTGCTGAAAGAACTCGCCGCTTTCAACCGTGCAAACCTTCACCTCCTGTAAAGAGGCCAAAGATGCAAGTCTTGTTCACCTATCCTAACAAGATGTCGGTTAAAACCCCAGGTGAATTTTCTGAAGAGGAGAGAGAGGAACCCAGCCTCATTCCTCGGACGCGATCCCGGCCCACAACTCAGGTTACTCCACGGTGCGAATTACGTTCTAAATTTTCTGAGGAGAGGCCTGCTGATCCAGAAGAGGGACGTCCGGCTAAACGCAATAAGCTGGCTTCTAAACGGCGGGGCAGCCTCGAAACAGAACCAACGACTCAAGGAGTTGCAGCTAAAAGGGGTAAGTACTTCTTTGTATAGCTTCTTCCGATATATGTTGAGTTTTTGGACTTAAACAATTTTCGCACTTTGCAGAGGGGGATTTTACAAGCGACTTCGCCTTTGACGCCTCTTCGCCTGATCTTGATTTCTCGGCACCAACTCCGGGAATCAGGCCGGAAGAGCATGCAGACGCTGAGATTAATATTCTTGGCAGGACCGAAGCGGGTCACGATGTTGAGACAGGTTTAACCAAACAGGCTGAGAGTCCAGGTATTCTTAAAACCAGTAGCGCCTCTTTCGGATGGGAGACAGGTTTAACCAAACAGGCTGAGAGTCCAGGTATTCTTAAAACCAGTAGCGCCTCTTTCGGATGGTGGGCACTGAACGATGGAGAATTCGTATCCCTGCTAACTGTTTCTATGCTTCTTACTCTGTTAGAAAAGCTGCAAGAGGTGGATCGAAGCGAGCGGGTGCAGGAATCCAGCGTTGCCGTTGAAGGTAAACTTTTACTTGATTTTTCCTTTTGTTGTAAGTCTGATGAGTTGAAGCGATTTTTAACTCTTGCACTTTCTTATAGATGCAATAACAGAGGGTCAAGGTGACGAGGGGGATTCCCAAGACGCGCCTTTTGAAGGAGAGGATCTAGATTCCCGTGATCCGGTATCGGCTTCTGACGATATGCTGCTGGACGATATGTTGCGGGAACAAGCCCAACACGAGGCTGCCGACCCGATCTTCACCGCTGACTCGCCCGCAAGTAACATTATTATTCCCATGTTTCACTGATTTATTCATGATTTTTGTTACTCATCGAAGGGTTCAAATCATAGGACCAGTTATAAAGACTGATACAACTACTCCTAACGAAAAATCTGGTGAATCTGAGGGTCTTGATTTCTTGCTTTTGGCAGGAGTTGTTATTGACGCTCAGTCATCAGGCTTTCCGCAACAACTCTCGGTTTCTTTGGGAATGCCGACTACCGTGTTTGCCCGTGGGACCAACTACGGGAGTTGATGCTTCAACGGTTACTACACCTATGATGCTCCCTGCGACTCATGAAATTGAGCAGCGAGAAGCGGGTGTAGTGCATTCGGTCACAGAAAGCTCTTCGGGGACTGGTGAATCCTGTGTGCTATCTTTTCCTTTTATTTTTTTTGACTTATCATTTCTGGATATTCATAGTTTTGCGCTTTCTTTTTCCAGGATCGTTATCTCAACTGCGTGCGCGCGTTGATGCCTTATTGTCTGATGACGACCCAGATAAGCTCCTCCTCTGCTTAGAAGTCAGCAATTTTCTTAATTTTGTAGAGTCCCTGATTGGCAAACTTCTGGAGAAGAGGATCCCTTTCAGCCACTTTCGGCTGGTCCTCGAGCGCAAAATAGCCTTGATAAAGGACACTGTTTCCCCCGACATAGCTAAAGCTTTGATCGACAATGTAAATCAATTTGAGTGCAGATTTATGAAACTACAAGAGCTTCAATCTGTTGGTGTTTCTGGCTACGTTGCTACGCGAATGGAGGCTCGTATGCAGTCATGGTGTGAATCTCGAGAATCCGTCGGACTTGGGCTCCAGGCGCAGAGAAAACGCGTTGACCAAGCGGAGGGAGTTCTTTCCGAAAGATTGGCTCATTTGCGTGAAATCGACTCGTCGTTAGCCTGTGTTGACGTCGAAATAGCGGAGCTATAGCAGAAACTGGTGGAAGCAAAACAACGAAGAATTAATTTGGAGGTGACCAAGGCCAGGGAGGAGCATAGCAAGGCTGTGATATCTAGCAAAGTGATGCTCTCGGGAAAGATTGGCCAAGATGGAGGAAGAAGCCGCCCAACTCTTATCTGCTTCTGAGGACTCCTTCAAAATCGAGCTGCAGCGTGAGCTTGAGCGTGCTTATGCTGAAGAGTTAATCAAGCTTGAGCAAGAAATTATTAGTCAAAAATACAATGTAAAGTGATTATGGTTGTTTGTATCTGAACACTTCTTTTTTTTGTTAATGATACGCATGTTTTGTTCTGTGCTTTTTATTCTCATTATGATTTCTCATTCTATTTAGAATAATCAACCATAACACTTATAGGATTTTTGGTAAATCCTCAGCCGTCTACGAATTTGATATGCCTTTACCGATTACCGTTTGAATCGGGCTAGCCTGTGAATTATCTGGGTCCGTTTCACAAGTAACATTGTGCTAAAGGGATGAACCCCTTTAGACTTAATGCTACGAATTTGAATACGTAGACTTGGTTACTTTTTACGGTAAAAGACAAACCGACGGCACGTATTAGGCGCCGACTTATCCCTGCTTAGGCTTCGGGATAAAATTCCCCAGACTCAGATTCTGGTATCTTTTTCAATTAGTAAAAGACTAAACCGGCAACGCGTGTTAGGTGTTGACTTATCCCTGCTTAGGATTCGGGATAAAATTCCCCATACCCATAAGGCATGGATTATGGAGTTATTATTAAGAAAAATGTAGCATCCTTTTA